TAATAATTTTCGTGAACTATTATTACTTAAGTATGTAAAAATTTATTACATTTCCTGTTGTACGAGGGTTTTACCCAATTCTCGAACCGTGTCAGAGTGAATCCGTGCTATAAAAGTACCGTGTTATACGGGGGATGGTACCAATTCTCGAACCGTGTCAGAGTGAATCCGTGCTATAAAAGTACCGTGTTATACGGGGGATGGTACCAATTTTCGAACCGTGTTAGAGTGAATCCGTGCTATAAAAGTACCGTGTTATACGGGGGATGGTACCAATTTTCAAACCGTGTTAGAGTGAAGCCGTGCTATAGAAGTACCATGTTATACGGGGGTTACCTGTATCTCTTTTTCTCTTCATTCGTTTAGTGGTAAAAAGATGAAAGATAAATAAAATTTTTAAAAATATTTAATATTTCTGTGACACATCTCAGTCACTCATGATACACAAATGTCTTGTGGCACACTGATTTAAAGTAATATGAAATGCGCATTTGCTTTCTCTGTTTTAACATTTTTGATAAGACAAGGCCTTTGATATATTTTTTTTTCTATTTGGTCAAATGGATTTCAAAAACTACCCAAATTCCATCTAAACTTGTTGCCATCAGTTACCATTTATCTATCCCTATCATTGAAAAGATTAAATTCACTGGCTTTTGTTATAATATTTACTGTAATAAGAATAAAGCATAGTCTAACTTCTTGTTGAGGATATTAACAGCAAATTAAGAACATAACCACGAAATTACCAACATACCAGCATAAATTCATTTAAAAAATGAACGTTTTCTACTGTCTTCAACGGTCATCATCAGGTTCGAATCCAAGATTTCAAAAAATCGAACATCGCATCGTCCAGAAAGGGAACAGTCATCAATTTCAAGGAAACAGACTCTTTGGCAACGGCGTGGAGGGCGTATTATGACGTATAATGGATGCGCACCATATATGTCTACACTATAATAAAAACATCGGATTTTTGAAGCAGGAAACCAATTACACGAATAATTTTATTAAGGCCCTGCATTGGACATGCGCGTAATTGCGATGTTCAATTTTTTGAAATCTTGGATTCAAACCTGATGATGACCGTTGAAGACGGTAAAAAACGTTCGTTTTTGAAATGAATTTATGCTGGTATGTTGGTAATTTTGTGGTTATGTTCTTAATTCTCACACCAGTATGATGAATGATTGTTTAGATATGGCTATGCCAGCGTATTATTTATATTCTCCATAATAAGTCCAAATAGAAAACAATGAAAACATTAAAGTTGGGGATAAAAGACTGAGATAAACTTTTACACCTAATGCAACAGTGCAACATTCCCAACATTGTATATTGTAGGCCTACATACCCATGGTTAATTTTATCATCCCATCTTGAATGATGAAACTGGTCACCTCAAAAAAGGGTATTTTATATAAATAAATTGTGTCCAGATGATTATTGGTTAGGTAAAGGGGTGGTTGATTTAAAAAAAGTCCTATGGAATAAAAATTCTGATCTAAGAAAATCTGGTCATCCAGTCATTAAAAGGTGAGATCATCTGGAGACGTTTCACTGTATTAAATGTTCATAAATTCAGAATTTNATATGTTAATACCTATAATAAACAAATGTAGTGTTATGGAATTTATGAATATTTAATATATGAAACCAGATTATAGTATACAATACAACCATTTTGAAAAAAACAAAAGAAACTAACTAAAAATAAAATTAATTTTTCTTATATAACAAGAATCATCACATACAAAACATTCAGTATTTAAAATATCTATTCTGTATATATATAAAATACTTAGCTTAAAATCACCATCACACTTTTTTCTGTCAGAGGAAGGAAACAAGTAGAAACAATAACACCAAGAATCAATGAATTGTGCTGAAATTTTTGTTATAGTCTATATTGGGAATAATGATACAAAATTTGTGGGGCAAGGAAATAAAGCAAGTGGGGGCAAAGCCTCTAGTATATTATAATTGCTAACAATAATGAGAACTGCATATAACTCAGGATAACATAAATCATTTCAAAAAGAAAATTTTAAGAAATATTTAAATTTAATATACAGGGTGTATCAGAATGACATTTTAAAAATTTGGGGGATTGTAGAGGATGAAATGTTGAACGTTTTGATATAAGGAACCCATAGCCGGAAATGTGATATAAAGTTTCTACAGCGGTAGGAAGTGCTTGACCGCCCTTCACTTTGGTAGCTACCCNGAATTTAGACTTTTTATTTTAAAGGTTTATAATAACTGATCCCATTGTTTTAAATTAATTTATATTTGATATGATATTTTCATATAAATGATTATATTTTAGCTCTACATACGTGGACCAGACTCAAATTCTGGTCCATGTATGTGGGAATGGGTTCAAATCCCACTTCTGACACCACTGTGACCATAGGGTCGGTGTCTCTTTGGCACTGCATCAGGATGTGACACCACTGAGTCTCACAGGACTTGGAAATCGCGATTTTACGTCATGCGAGCGGTAGTGGGTGAGCGGTTGGATTCAGAGTAGAGGTGAGGAAGTGATTCGCTTGGATTCCATATTAATAAACAATAACAAATTAATTTTATCGGGCAGGAGTACATGATATACAATCTTATCCCTATTTTCTTGCATTTAACTGTCACAAGAGAGAGTTTACAAATGACTCACGTGTGGATAAATACCTTATAAAGAAGTTGAGGATGGATGACTCACACACAGGATTCTTCGAGTGTTTAGTGGATTCTTCGGGTGATCGAAGGGTCTTTTTATTCAAATTGTTCGGGTAACAGCTCTTTGGAGGGAGGTATCCAACAGGTGTAGAATAAGTTAAGAACTTGGGGGCGATAGGTATCCATATGTTAATATCGATGGAGGCTCAGTATTTTAACACGCTTTTGAGGCGACTTTTTTGTGGACGGACTTCGGAGGACGACTGACTTGATTTCTTTATCACTCTCCTTGGTTATTGGGTATTTTCCTTCTGGGGATTTTCCATGAGGTCAGGAGCCTGCCACCAATGGCCTGGCATACAATACTGGAAATTTATCGAAAGTTCCGGGTGATACATTAATGACTAGATGGATCATCCTCAACAAGGAAGCAAGTCTGTGGAAAACAATTTTTATGATAGCTCTTGATAAAAAAATCGAAGTCAAATGACAAAATTGTAAAATGACCAAAGGTCAAACTAATATTTTCATCCCTTCGTCCGTCACAAATGATTATATTTTAGCTCATTTGTGGCAAGTGTGGCAGCAGGCTCGATGAGATGACTCCACGGGCCGAATCCAGCCAACAGGCCGCAGTTTGGTGACCCTGCTCTACTGTATATGTAATCTCAATAAATGTTATCATTTACTGTCCACCTACTTTTGATTCACCCTGTATAATATACACTGTATACATCCATGGTTTTAATATCATCACTCCATCCAGGGTGATGAAACGGGTCACCTCAAAGAGAGTGTTTTACATAAAAGAATTATGAGTCTGGATGGACATTGTCTTGAAAAGAGATGGATGGCTTAAAGAGGATTAAAAACAATGTCCTATGGAACAAAAATTCTATTCTAAGAAAATCTGGTCATTTACAGGGGTGATTGGTTTAAAGGGGGTGNTTAATTTTTAAAAAATCATCATCCCAAAACAAATGATGTTCAAAAATATGTAAAAGAATTTTAAAAAAGTTTTTCAATAGAAATATATAAGAAACAATTCATATATTTAAACTATTGTTTCTAATAAATTAATATCAATTTTTCTTCCAATAAAATAATAATGGCATTTCATCTTAGTAGAGAATCTTTTTCAATATGATTTAATAAGAACTGACTGAGATTGAATACTTAAGAAATTATTGTATAAACTTTGTCCACATATGATCAATAATTACAGGTTTATTTTATATTTATTGTTTGGATACTTTGATAATACATTAATATTTAATTTAAAATGTATAGTTTGCTTAATAATCTTATAAACAAAACTGAATTCTTACACATCTTTTAAAAATTTAGTTGATAGATTTAGCTAAGTAATACTTATCAAAAGATTTCTTTTTCTGTGTCACAACATTTAAGAAATCCTTCAACAAGCAATTAAATTAATTTCTAAAATTAGTCATAACTCACAATCCATGCCGAAGCTCAAACAGCTTAAAGGAAAACACATCAACAAAAGAAAATTTACTGTTTACATATACATAAAGTGTTGATTATCATCAGCACATTTATGTATATGTAAACACTAAATTTAATTTATCACAATATTGTAAAGAAACAAGTCTCTTTACAATATTGTGACAAATTAAATTGCATGTAAAATAGCCTCATTAAATATGATTCCATCCAAAATAAATGTAATAAACCATAAATTTTGTTTTGAAGTCAAAAATACTTCATTAGTTTAAGTATAGAAACTAAAATGCTTAAATGCACGACCCCACAAGACATCTATACTGAAGATAAACTTGCCGAAACAACAAAAACCGGCAACGAAGAATTGTAATGCAAAAGCAAACATTTCCCGCCGTATAAAACCGTCATCTACGTTAAAATCCTTCTTGGTTGCTGGTTTCGGTGCATTCGTCACAGAGCATATCGTCGGCGTCCACACCGAAGTGTATTATTGTTTACATCTGAATAATGTTGATAAGGAAATTAATCTTTTAACTTGTCTGCTTGATTAAGTAAATATATTAATTTGACTTGTCTACTTGTTATTAAGAATTAAAGCCAAGTAAATCATAAAGAAACAATGAAGCTCAGATGAATGTGTAGTGCTTAATTTAATAAGCATTATGATTAAAGTTGGCTTTTGTATAGAATATTTAAGTGTGTATCATTTCAATTGTTAAACATTACATAAAACACGAGATTATGTAAGCATAAACTTAATAATATAATCAATTATTGAAGTTAATTAATTAATTATGTAAGATGTAAATTAAGAATTTGAAAATCCAATCAAATAATTTATATGAAAATATTACCTGAACTGGCTCCTGTATAATCATTTTATTTTTATTAAAAGGTATCTATTTTCAATTATATAACTTATCATAAAACCGTTTTATATCAAAGTACGATTTGTAATTAGTTAAAAGGACTTTTATACGTTAACTAATCCGAAGCTCATCGGCCATCTTCAACAACATTCAAAAACTAACAGCTCCGCACTATCGGTCATAAACGGAAAAACATGATATATCGTTTGGTTTTTTTTTATTTTCGTTTTATTTTTTTTTTCCTATTCGTCCGGTATTAATCGATTTTATTTCTTGTTTGAATTTTTTTGGTATTATAAAATTTTTTTTGGATTCGTTAACGGGATATTAATTAATTAAAATTATAAATGAATAAGTGAGGTTTGAGTTTGGTGACGACATTTCAGTTAATAAAAATTATTTTTTGATGTTAAACTGTAATTATCGTGTAGATTATTTGTGAAAAGCCGTTATTTAATATTTTTAAATGATCTATTGCATTTTATACGCGTTTTACACATTTTTTTTTTTTAGAAGTGTAAATGGATGGAAGAGGCGTCAATGACATTTTGAAAAGCGGTTTGAGTCAGAGTCGGCTCGTAAGTTGTTATTATTGATCGGGATAACAGGTGGATTCGGCCGTTCTCAAACCCAGGATGAATAATTAGAAAGATCACTCTAGAAAAATACCTGGGTTTTTCAAACATTCGGGTTCGATCCCGGGCCTCCACAGTAGTAGGCTGCTACCTTAACCACTCGGCCATCCGGACATCGGCCCAAATCATAATTAGTAGCCTACAGAAATTATTGTAGTCTGTAATGAAAGGTTTTTGTAAAACAATAAGTACAAATGAAAGTTTTATTAAATGATAGTTTGATAGTTTGACATAACACGACAAATTAAGGCTGTAAGTTTTACTTCAATTTTGTCCATTATGGAATTGCTCAACTCACAATTCTGGTAATCGAAGTTTCTATAGTGTGATAGGATAAATAAAGCACAAAATTTTCAATTATAAATGTAAATAAAGAGAAGAAATTTGGTATGCAAGTAAACACGAGACCAAATTTGTTATGCACACTGCCCTGATTATAAAGGTTTCGATGCAAAACAAAAAAAAAAAAAAAATTAATTTCAAACTTTAGCCTCTAGGACGAAATTTGGCTCTCCTCAAAATGTAGATTTTAAACGCCAAAATTTTTTAAATGCCAAATTTGCATTACATTTTTAGTTGAATTTAACTCCTCGTACGCCGTATAAAAGTTGGGTTCGTTACGGATACGGTCTTACAGTATTTTATAACTATCGCCATAGGTACCAGCGTTGCAAACACTAACGGATACGCCATGTGTATGGTTACAATACGGAGTTTATAACCCAACCCTAACTCACTCACCATGAGTATTCGCCGTTCTTTTGAAAAACTTTTTAACATCTGAAACTCACTAGAAAATATATTTAATATATACATTTAGGAGGCACCAGCTCCAAATTTACAAAATATTATATAGTGAATGTATTTGCTGATGCAAAAATCAGAAAATTAAACATGAAATTTTTAACTTGTGCTAATAATTTTTAATCAAGGTAATGTTATAAGGAGGAGACACGTAAAATTTTTGGCACGGGCTCCGAACAGTTACTTACGCTACTGCTTGAAACACTTTGGTTTTAAAACGACGGTTGTATCTTCGATATGATATAAATATTTTCAGAATAGGAAGAAAGATAACAGATAAAGCATTATTTAATTATCTTCTATTTCTTTCAATACTTAAATGAAATAGCAGACAAATTTACGTGCGTGTTTTTACTCTTTTCTCCCTATGATCGCTAAGAGAACCTTTTTTTGTTTAGCTTGCCTATTATAGGTTCGGTAAGAACCACAGTGAGGCGACCGAGTGACGAGAAATGACCAACATGTCTGGACGGATTACAGAAAAATTCCTGTGATTTTTTGATCTGTCCGGATTCAATCTCGGGTCTCCCAGAGAGGTAGGCTACCATTTTAACTACACGGCCATCTGACCACAATGTTTTTAAATTTAAAACATATTTTTGTATTACTTACTAATAAAAAAAAAAATGTTCTAAATGATAACTTTACTCCAAAGAGAATTTCATGTAATAATTTGATGTTTAATGTGATTATGATAAACGAGACCAAAATTAATATTTACCTTAATTATTTTCTATAAGAATCCAATTAACTCTACGTATTTTTAGTAAGTAAAATCAAAGACGTTTATATTGACTTTATTATTAATGCATTTATAAAATTTGAACTTGTAATATTATTTATGATATATACGAATATAAATTTTAAGCAATTTAATTATACATATAGAAAAACTTCTACAGTTTTATGAGACTTCGTTCAAACAACGCATTGATGTTAAAGCTATGGATGATTCGGGGGAGATTCTCTTGTCGGAAGTAGTCGGACAATTTCTATCTTGCATAATGTTATCTCGTTTTATAAATGTGTTATCCATTGACATGTTCTTAGCTTTTTTCTTCGGCCCAAACATAACGCACAAAACTGTGCCTACACTAATTATAACTGTAGCACATCCGATAACAGTTATAATAAGAAATTGATCTTCTTGAATAACTGGAACTGAAAGAATGAATTTAATAAATAAGTGTTTCAAATGCATAGGATCTTCCAAAATGAATGCTATTATTTTGAATTACTGTAATTATGCTAATTATTATCTGAGAAGTATCCAGTGTACATCAATCGATAGTGTAACTGTTCGAATTTCATCTCTCATCTGTGTTAAAACATCTTGATGTGTACTACCTATAGGAAATGCCGTAAACGAAAAAGTCGACCCCGCAACAGAGAAGGTGTTTTGTGTTCTTTGGTTTACAAAATCCAAATCACTCGTCATAGTATAACATGAGCTTAGCAGACAATTTCAAACTGATCTGTCATGTAAAACAAACATACTTTGGTGATATCGAGTTCCAGGAGAATACAGAACGATTCCGATTTCGCTGAATACTGCAGAACATAAAACGCCGTTTATGTTGTGGATTCGCCATTTTTGTTCACGGTTCTTTCTAGAGGAAGCAGACAAGACGTTTGAATGCAGATGAGATATGAAACTCGGACAGTTACTCGGCGGTCATCGTATACTTCTCTATTAATAATTAACATATAGTAATTTAAAATGGTAGCATTTATTTTAGAAAGTCCTGTATTACTAATAGATTTGTTTAATTAGAAATACCATCATCATGCAACGTTCTGTGCACGAAATGATTTTGTTCGGCATCCATTCTAGAATCTTGAACATTATTAGAAGTCGAGGATAATGCATCTTCTGTTCCATCCAAATCTTCCATTACCGGATAGCGGACATGTTTCGTTTCTGTAACTTTTTTATTATTTGGTACATGTATTCTGAAAAATGAAAAATAAATTAATAAGTGATAAAATAAAATAAATAAAATATTTTCAACTACAGTTAGATATAAGGCTTATTGTTTCTATTAAATTTAATTCGTTTTCGGTGAGATGGATTTACAGTGAATTTAGCAACATACCGATATATGGAGAAAAATCGAAAACCTGAATTAAACTCTCTTTAAAATTACTAAATTTTGAAAGTTTTTCTAGGTTTGAAAACATAAATACACCAAAATGATTGAATTGATGAAATAAGGCAGCACAACACGTGGGCAATCTACCAAGTGAGATGCCTCCCGGAAGGACTTTCTTTTGGGAAATTGGGCCCTTTTTTGTGGTATACGCCCGGAAAGAAAACCTGAAGTTTTCAGATTTTCTTAATGTGGTCACTCTAACGTGGCCAGCCCGGTAAAGAAGCACTAATGATGGATCCATAATCCTTTTCAATACGTTACTTACAAATTAACGTTATGATAATAAATCCTGACAAGTCTTCATAGATATTTCAATATATATTTTTACTTACGATGCTTGAAGGGAAAATATCTTTGGTAACAAGTTGCATTGGACCAGATATCGTCGAGTGTTATGAGTCACTACATCTTTATTTTCATGCACGACTACAGTTGTCTGGATTTCCGAATTATTCTGAAAATATAATATAATTTACTTACAAGTTTTACAAAATCAAACTTAAAAAGAAAAAATAAAAACACAATCAGATCTCGAGAAAATATTCTTATTCCTGATACATCAGAATATTTAAAGCTGTCGAGAAGACGTGCTTTCTCCGAATTGTTATAAATAAATGAATTCGAAAACTAACATAAAATCACATTCTCACAATTCGATGGCTGCCGCATATTTCATGGTGAATTCTCAAAGTATAGATGTCTTTCGAACTGCTTCTGTTTCCATAGACTGAACATCTTTCATCATTGCTGTTCTCTACTGTTATTTTCCCTCCGAAATGAGGACCCGTTCTTACCGCAATTTCAGACCATTCTTCGATGCATCGACTGATTTCAGCTGCAACTGTATAAACATATGGTTGAAGTACAATAAAATATTTGAACAAATAAATATAATATAAAAATAATCATAGACATTATTAACTCTTTTTGCCATGTGGATACTAAGATGACCTCTTTAGGAAGCCCATTATGGATTTAGCCAAGCCCACAATGGAAGAGCCCGACTTATCTGGACAAACCAACCCCGAAAAATTCCCGGCGTGTTTCGACCACCATCTCGGATCTCGGATCCACCATAGTGGTAAGTTGCCATTTTAATCACTCGGTCATTCGACCGTCAAAGAATTTATCACCAAATGACAGCCGGATGACGAAGCGGTCAAGATAGCAGCCTACTGCTCTGGGGACCCGGAATCGAATCCGGACGGGTCCGTCCGAATATGTCGGGCCCCTTCCTCACCACCCGGCCGCCTCATTGTGTGCCAGGCCGAACCCATAATGGGCTTGTTAAAAGAAAGGATAAAAAAGAAAAAAATTCATCGCCAAATGTGGAACTCTAACTAACGACTCTGAGATTAACTCATGTTATATCGATTGAGCTAGTCGGGGTGTTATATACAAAAGAGATTTTTTCTCTATGTAGGATATTACGGTAAACTTTCTATTTTGATTGACTTTCTAAGAGAATTATAGGCAAATTCTTTACTTTTTCAGCTCTATATGAATTCTAAGAATGCCTTTTTTTCATATCCATCGTGGATTTGGCCAGACCTACAACGGGGACAATTGGATAGTGAGGCATGGGGCTCAATTTTTCTGGAAAATATTGTCCATGAAGAATTCTTGGACAATCTTGAAGTTGCTCTCCAGGATTCTATCCACGGTTTCCCAGAGCAGTAAGCTGATGTCTTAACCGCTTCGTCTATCCGTCCAACAATGATTGAGGTATATTTTAGAAGAGAACTGGGTATGAACCGAAATCGGATTTCCATGATTTTCCATAATAAATTCGAGCTTGTACATCATTTCTGATTTCTCATTTATGTCACCGATCCGTTGAGCGATAAGTCTTTTATAATGGCAGTCAATGCACGGTATATACGATACACGATATGAATATATTCCCAATTATCAATACCAATATCTTAAAAAAGAAAAAAAATTAACATTTTCTAGTGTTTCTTTAATTCACGATATGAAAATAACAATGAAATCTATAAATAAATATAACTCATAAACTGTAACATGATTAATGAGGTAGTAACGTGACTGATAGTAAAATGTAATTTAAAGAATGAGAATTGAACAAAAAAGATTCAGATCGGTCGTACTGATTTTCTAATATCACGTAAATATCGAAAATAAATTTCTGCCGTCGTGCAAACACATTATTTAAGAGAATAATGACTTAGAACACGCAATTGCCGGAAGGCCAAATCGGTTAAGGTATGTGGTCGCTGCTTTGAGGAATTTGGGCTTGAATTCGAGTCGAATTCTCCAATTTTTTAAAACTCTTTCCGCCCTGTAAGTATTATAGGACCTCTTTTAGTAAGACCATTACAAGTTCGGTCCGATCCACGATGAAGCGACCAGATGATGAGGGACATGGTAAAACTATGGGTGGTTTGACCGGAATGCGTCAGGTCCCATCTCTTAACACCCCTACCGCTTTATTGCAGGCTTGCCGAAATGAGAAAGGAAAAAAAGGACCCGTTTCTTGATTATAAGGCGAAATAGCTATGTTTTCGAATAATTACAAGCACTTACAATTAAAAAAATAATAATAAGTAACTTACATCCATTTGTAGTAACAGTTATGCTTGGTACTTCGAATACTTTTGCTCTCTGTCTAAACTTATTCATTACGTTTTCTGTAGGTCGTTCTTCATATATTTGAGGTTCTATCATAAATGTGTAATTAGTTGACATTCTTAGATCATAAATTGTTGCATGATAAATTCCATTATCTGTTGGAGGATTATCTTTTGTCGAAACGTAACGTTTTCTGCAACGATATTTAATACTCCAAACTAATTCGCAATATTTAATGAGGAAATTCAATGGGCGATCTTCGTCTTCGTATTTCCAATTCAACTTAACTGATCTATATCCAGGTTCTGCTGTTATTTGCATTCCTAAATAAAATTTTTTATTGATATTTTATAGAAATCATTAACTGTTATCGCTATATTTTGTGGAGTTGATGCTTTAATTTAAATATATATTTTTGCAGGAATATAATCCTCATAAAATGTTCTACAAGGATTCTATTTTTGTAAAGATAAATGTACCTTAAATCTTAAGAGAATTTTTGTAAACTTTTACAGGGAACTTTTTAATTGCATGCGTTGAATGTAAAAAATTAGAAAAGAAGTTAATCAAATTATTTATTTATTTATTTATAAACCTTATAATGGCACAATTGAACTTTCATGCTTCACTTTATCATTTCATTATAATTCACAATAGTCTTTAGCATAATTTAATTAATTTCGTAAAAAGTATAATTAATATATAAAATTTCACATGAGAAATCATAAACTACAGCCAGCAATACGTTAACAAATAAAATTATTATATAAAATTCGAGATTTTTAACGTAGAAATGTTCTGTAAATATCAGTATAAATGTTATAATATAAGTTTAAATATAAAACTACATTTTAGAAGGAAAGTCGCCATTAATTTTATATGTTGTATGAGTCCCTTGTAAAATTCTACAAAAATCTTTGTAAAAGTTTTGACAAGAATTATTTTCAAGATTCAAATTAAAAAAAAAAAAAAACGAATAGAAGTGTAAAAAGGAAAAGAAATTCAATTAGATATAATCAAAATTGTCAATTGAATACATATTTTACCTTGATCAAAAGGGTGAGTGATCTCATTAGAAGTGACAAAGCATCCATTTTTAGCAATGGCGATGAGTACTAACAAGAGCATTTTGAGGAAAATATTAACCTATACAGGCAAAGAGCATATATTGAAAAAGAACGTTGAAATATACAGTATATTTTTCAACAAAAATTAAAAAAAATAAACGTATAAATACGTTATAAAACTTACTTTTAATGTATATCGGGATACATGACGTTGACGAAGTTTAGATCCAGACAAAACTGCATCATTGGCAGGAAGATTCTAAAATAGTGCAGGAAAAACACGGAAATATAAGGACATCCTGTCTTTTGTGGTAACTCAATTTGTGTTGAGACTAGTACCTGATGTACGTGTTATTTATGGGTGATTCCTGGGATTGTATACAATAGAAAATTTAAATAGTGTAGCGTAGTTGGTGATGATTTTTTTTATTTCAATGTAATTTTCTACAATAATGAAAGATATGGATTAATTTCAAAGACATTTTCTTCGATTTATTCCTTAGATATTACTTAATTTGATTAAGAAATTAATGGAAATTAAGCTGCATTTCCCCGGATTTACTGTTTATAATTCGATTTAAGGAAAATTTATAAAAAAATATATTTGCATTCCACTATATTCGTTAAATCTTTTATACCTCATTCGTATAATGAATGACTAAGAATAAAATAAAATTTAAATTAATAATGAATGACTTAGAATTAAAATAAAATTTAAATTAATAATTTAACTTTAAAATTTATAATTAATACTCAATTAAATTGAATTACATAATTAAAAATTAATTAATATAATTTTAAATTATTAATTGATGAAATTAACGATTAAAATATTTTATTTTTTCCCTTTATTATTGCTGATCTTGTTTATTTTTCGATTCTTTCTGCCCTGTGAGTACTAAGAGAGCCTCTTTTAGCAAGCCCATTCGGCCAGGCCCACCGGGTGGTGAGGGACGGGCCGACATATCCGGTCGGACCACCCCCTAAAAATTCCTGGAGACTATTTGACCCGCCCAGATTCGATTCCGGGCCCCCCAGAGCGGTAAGCTGCTACCTTGATCGCTCAACCGCTAAAAGTAAGAAGCTTTTTAACGTATCCATCATGGATTCGGCCGGAGCCACAATGACGGAGTGAGAAACGGGTCCGAAGTATCCTGAGAGGGCCAACCCCCGAAAAATTCCTTTTCTACCGCCCGAATTTAATTATGAGTCTCTCAGAGCGGTGAGCTAACGCCTATAAGGCATTCAATTTTTTTAAATATATAGGAAAAAATGTTTAACTATCAAGTCTTTGTGCTTTTATTCTAATATTTTATATTTTCAGCTCAATTTTTGTTAACGTATCATATGCCTGACGTGAAGCTTCGTGATGATATAATTATTTTTCTAGTGACCTATGTAAAGCTTGATCCTTGGATCAGTGCCACGGATAATAACGTGTATCCGGTCATCGCTAAAATCAAAACTTTTATTTTTATTATATTGTAAATAATACTCTATACATTATGAATAAATACATAATAAAAGCTTCATATACTGCTATGATTCTTTTACCGTTGCACTCATTTTATATATTGTAACGTTCGTTTTATTATAAATTTAAATATATATTTATTTAAATATTTTTTATACTATTGATTATTTATTTTACAGATAAGAGTGATATTTATTTTACAGATAAATTGTTCATCTAGATCTATGGATTATATATCTTTAAATTTATAATACTGTATTTAAAGATGGCGTTACTCATTTTAGATAGTGGCGTCACCTAAAGAATTTTTTCCCTATAATTATTAATAGTGATTTTATGTTTAAAAATTATTTAATAAATTTTAAAATTAATTTATTTAAGTAATTAATAGTTTTTATATGTTTGATTCGGAATTTCTGTAGTTTCCTCATTTGTACAATTGATCGTCATCACGAAATCTACCAAAATTCAAACATTCGTAATGAAATAGTTTAAGTCCGATGACGTAGAAACGCGATCCTCTAAAAATTTCTAGTGAAAATTGCACGGTAAAACTTATATAAACCGGAGTTTCACCGTACCGAATTATTTTTCCGTTGTGGCAGGTTTCCGTTTTAAACAGAATTTTTTTTTTTTGCTCCTTTCCGAATAATTTTTTCGTTTCGGAAGGTTTCCGTTTTATCCTGGTTTTGCTGTATTAATTGGCTAATGGTTGTATGCCAAGAGATTTTTCTATTATTATTTGATCAAATTTAAACTTCTATACATAATTTCAATTAAAAAAGGCAAACGGTATATGCACAATATAAAAATTCGGAAGAAACTATCGTCGTCCTGTTCAATAACCAAGAACAAAAAACAGTCTTTCTTCGCAGAGACGACGTTTTATTAGAGGATATGCCTTTGAAAAATTGTGTAAAACAGTTTAAAAAATTTCATTGACAATAAACCAAAACAATTAAAAAATATATACACAATTAGCTCTACTAACAAAGACTTTTTTTTTTTAACTCTTTCCGCTCTGTGGGCACTAAGAGGGCCTCTTTTTGCAAGCCCATTATGGGTTCGGCCAGGCCCACAATGGGGCTGCCGGGTGGTGAGAAATGGGGCCCGACATATCCGAACGGACCACCCCCCGAGAAATTCCTGGAGATTTTTCGACCCGTTCGGATTCGAGCCTGGGTTGCCCAGAGCGGTAGGCTGCCACCTTGACCGCTCGGCCATCCGGCCACAACTAACAAAGACGTTAATCTCTGTCACATGACTGTATGATAAAAGTCTTAACTTCTCTTAGTATGAAATCTATTTGAAACTCGGTCTGTCCAGGGCTTTCATAATTTATCCCCGAAATTTTCCTCGGGTTTTCGACCCGTCTGAATTCGATTTCGGATCCACCAGCACGATCGGCTGCCATGTGGGGCGACGAGATAGCGAGGAATGAGGCAGTGCATATCTGGGATATACCGCGTATGAAAAATTGCCCTCCCAGATTCGATTCTAAGATCTCAGAGAGGTAGGCCGACGCCTTACAGACTCGACATCTGACCATCCTTTTTTTAGAAAGGTAGGAGTACCCGGTTTTGAAGTCATGTTCTTCCCGCGCAGTAACCAGGCGCGATACCTTTAACTTTTCATCTCGATGATCAAAAGGGGAACAGGTGCTTTCGGCGTGATATGACTGCTGTCAAAACTATCTTTTAAGTTTTTTCAATAATGAAATGATTTTTTCTAAATACAGTTTTGTAAATGTTCGCTTTCCAAAATCGCCATTTTTGATAATCATTTAAAAAAATAAAAAAATACCATAATAAATATTATTTACTGAATTATAGAATAATTTATAACAGAAAAGATATAAAGAATGATATTTTTATTAGAAAATTTTTAATTATTTCGGCTATTTTATTGTTAGTGGGATGAAGTCATCCTACTTGTCGATTGCAGCGCCTCCCAGAAGCTATCTGTTTCTTCGCACGCCATCTGCCATTTTGTTCTCGGCTCGGTTTGTTCGTAAAGAAAATACAGAAAATGGTAATAAAATTTTCGTTACTAAAATTCTTAATTCTCCTAAAATAATGTAATATGAAATATTTTAAGTTGTTATTAAGTTATAAGTTACCGTTATAATAATAATCCGGCCATTTGGAATTATTAATTTACAATTGTTGCTCGTGCTAAGCCTAACTCCACGTGGCGTGAAAATTACTCTGGAAATATGTCTATTTTTAAGCGAATATTATACAATTGCTTATATTTTAATGGCTGATTTTTTTTTTATATTGAAATAACTGAATGTAGTGTACTTCCTTTCTTTTGAAGCTAGCATATCCATATTTTTCCAGGAATATTATCACTAAAATCGTGGTTAAATTCCAGATACGTATACCGTCATGGCGGCTCATCTCTGATTCCAGCAAACAGTGGGGACGCACGTTCTAACCTAACCTAACCTATTCTAATAATTTGGTTGGTAATAATTATGGTAATTTATTAGAATAGGTTAGGTTAGGTTAGAACGTGCATGCCCACTGTTTCTTTTGTTTGCTGGAATCAGAGATGAACCGCCATGACGATATACGTATCTGGAATTTAACCAAAATCGTTAATAATTATTACGAGGGTCATTATAAAAGTAAAGAACGTTTGTTTCTCTACATATTTTTATTTAAGATAATGAAACAAAACTTATTTTACAACACATATGATACCTTAGCTATATTTCTAAATAGTCGCCGTACAAATTTAAACATTTGTCATAGCGTATCATCAGCTTTTCTATGCCTTCTGCACACTCAGATTACCGCCAAGTTCTTGAACCAGTCATTAACGGCCTTTTTCAGTTCATTGTCACTTCCATAGTGATTCCCAGCTAAAAATCCTTCAATTTTGGAAAAGATGTAATCACTTGGAGCTTAGTCAGGGTTATAAGAAGGATGTTCAAAAACTTCCCACTTAAACTGCTGAAGCAAGTTCTTTGTCAATGCAGCAGCATGTGGACGTGCATTATCCTGAAGAAGCACAATGCCTCTGGACAACAATCCCTATTGTTTGTTTCAAACTGAAGCTTTATTCATCACATTACCATAAACTTCAGTTATTTTTCTGTAAATTTCAATAGGGCAGACTTTTTTCACATTCAAAATGCGTATTACATTACGAACCCCACATTTGGCGGGATCTTTAATTTTGTCACACTAAACAGTAAACAATCGTTATGACTAGCTGTTAGCATCAGACTGGCGCCAAAATGTGGGAAGGTTCATGACGTGGCAGTTGAGGGTGGTGGGAGAACTGAATGGCTTGTCAGATCAAAACGTTCTTTTCTTTTAGAATGACCCTCGTACTTATGAGGTCTCTCTATTTGCATAAAAAAATAAGCAGAAACTGAACATGGATCTTAATGTATAGTTACGTTGAGTTTTCAATAAATTCTTTTTTTACTTTGTTAAAATAACATCTCAGATGTTGAACAAAAACTGGGCCGATCAGAAATTTAGTATTCTTCATCCTAATTTTATATTTTCTACCCATTTTTATACAAAGTCTAGGAGAAATTTGACGTTTTTCTTTTGTGTATAAATGAACAAAGAACGTTTGTGATCCATTATGTGTCTTTAAAACCTGCTTGTAAGCACAATAATCTGTGCTGGTGAGGCTGTGATGGTTAATTAAAGTGTACAATAGAGCTTTCTGTATTTATCTTTTATTTAAAAATATTCATAAATTGGAAGAAACAATAAAATGTTTTCATATCTTCAACAACCTTGGGAACATAACATTTTATTGTTTCTTGTGATTTGTGAATATTATTGTCTTTGGCCATTTCATTTATTATTATATTAACTGAAAGCTTCACTTTCTCTCAAGATAATTAGCTTTTTGAGGCTGGTGTGCAGATATATGCTTTTTTTTTTTATTTATTAATGCTT